AGTGACAACCCGTAAACCATCTACGGCATTTGACCTTGTATACCTTCGGAGTTGACTCCCATACTATCATCTCATGACACTCTCTTACGCTGTACATTTTACAAGCCCTGGATATGCGAGCTTTATCGGGAAAATACATGCCCTTTGCCAGCATCGTTGGTCTAGACTCATCCCACATTGCTGACCGAATTTTGTCAAGATCCCTTGTGAGGGCATCCACATCTGGCATACTTGGAAAATTATCAAGGTAGGGAATATGCCTTGAATGAAACGGCACGTGGGACTCCTACACTCTTGGTCTAACGGGAGGTGGAGGAGCATGCTCCTCGTCAGCTCAGGTTCGACATTCACTTCCTCCTCCTCATCACCCTCGTCAGGGAAGGGTGTGTCATCTCCAGACTCACCGGCATTGTTATCATAATCACTATTATCTTCTTGACTCTGCACATATGCCAAATTACAAGTAAATACGTCGTCTACGGGCAACTGAGTGAGGTCAGGACCATCAAGTTGCTCATTTGCACTGCACAAACAACAAAATGATAAGCTACTCAAATTGATAAATACTTTACATATAGCTATATCACTTCACTTACAAGTCATAATGTGTTGACATTCCATGATGGACATTATCCTGTTGGTGATGACTCCCGGATGGACCACCGTGATCCAATACACCAAAACTATGCATATTCCAACTGGGCGTGGGGTCATAACTTGTAAAATTCATATCTGGACGGTACCCCCTGTGGAATATATGAGCGTTAATACAAATTCGATACAATAAAAATATACATCGTAACACAAAGGAAAATTGAAGTTTACCACTCGTCTTGTGAATTATGTAAAGAAGGAGAGAAATTATTTCCTCACTGCTCATTCGCCGGTGGTGATAACTTTAAATCAAAGCACACTCTTTCATCCGGAACCTGTCTGGCAAAAACTGCTCCAGAATAACCACCCGATGACTGGGGGTTATCCCTACTATGCGCAACCTCATTATTTGGAACGTCTTCAGCCTTGACGTACATTTCCAACATTTTTATTACAAGAAACTCCTGGTATTTATCCGGAGTCCTCAAAAAATCTCTCAAAGTTTCATCATCGTCGATGTTAAACTCAGCGTAACAAGCAACTCCTTGCGGAGTGACGGAATACGGATATCTTCCGGTTACTTTAAGGTTTACCGAACGTTTCCTCACACTCATTTTATTACATAACAACGATACCAATCTATCGTACTCCATTGTAAGTGGCAATTTAACATCACACTTTGGAGATAAACTATAGCTCACAGAGTTATTCGCCACCACAACCTCACCCCCCCCCCCCATATAATGAAACCCTTATTTTTCGCTCTTCAGACATTATGAAAAAATGCTTGAGAATTTAACAAGAAGAAAAGTTTGAACGGGAGTTAGTATATTTTTTGAATGGATTTTGTAAAATCCTAACACCTTTAAATAAGGCAATGCCTAGCTCGAGGGGTTGAATTTTTTGAGGTATAACGCTCTTTTAAAGGGCGCTATACCCATTTGAATAATTGCTATGTCAGTTAAACGCAGGAGACTTATTGGTAGGCCCTTTATCTATGTATAGCGCGGTATATAATTGCTATACATATATAGCGCGGTTATATACAACGCTATACATAGCTGTCATATCAGTCCAGCATAGCGCGGTTCTTTAATGCGTTATATAT